GTTCATTCGTATGAGCAAGAAAATATACAGCCAGACATACATCAAAAATAAAAATAAAAATAATAATCATATCAAGCTCCGAATCAAAGCAACAACTCAGTAAATGCATTACGAGTATTATTATTATTACTATTATTATTATTATTAACGAGTATTGAATATGATTGAAGGCCAAAAATCACTTATGCATTCTAGGCGTGCTTCATTTGTCTTGTGCAAGGGACCAAGGGGAGTTATGGGAAGATCTCTCGAGCCCGCTGGCCTCTCGAATTCAACGATGCTTATCCTCGCGAGATCCGATTGAATTCAACGAGACGATCGGGACTGGATCTCATGCGTTGGTAGGGGCGAGGGAGTCATCAGAACATTCAGATATCCATGAAGGAAACACTGAGAGGAAGGAGGGAAGAGGGGGAGAGAGAAGCAAAGTCGAAAGAGGTTGACAAAGTCGTAGCTTGACCGAAGAAGGGGACCAAGGCAAGAGGAGTTACAAGCACCCAAGTAGATATGAGAAAAACCGGCATTCCGTTATGGACTTAGCTTTTTTAGAGGAGAAGCCGAAGATCAAGGTGCGCAAGCCTTCTGCTCTCTGATCATGGCCCCGGGCGATGCAACCACTCGTACACACATACACCTTCCTTACCCTGGCATTGGCGATTCTGGCCGCCACATACCGACCTCCACACCACAGCGATCGTCACCCCACCAACTCAGTTTCTACACGGACTTGTCCCAAGGGTTTGATGGATTGTGGGGGCCGGGGGGCAAGGCCAGGTGACAGTGATTGGGGGGTAGTCAGGGAGAGGTGGGAATGCTGATGCTGGGGGGTGGGGGGGGGGCGGTTGTTGAGGAGAGTGTTTGAATACTTGGGTCGACGACCAGCGAGTTGTCTGGCAGGTGGGCTGAGCAGTCTTGGAACGGGCGCCACTGCCAGGTGTGTTCCCGCTTCATCTGCTGACCCCATACCAGCCTGTTACTTTTGTCCAAGTCCCCCAATTTTTTTTAAAATTTTTTTTTTTAAGAAACGCCGCCAGACCCTCTCACCACGGAAAAGGAACGGGCAAAAATTTTGGACCATTTCTCGATTTACGCGTGTCATCCTTGAAAGCGCAGGGGCCATGCTAATCTTCTTTCTCTCTCTGTATATTTCCAATTTTAACGGATGTCCCGAAGGACAAGTCCAGCAATTCTGATCCTCGGTACTGGGCAGTTTAACGCTCTCTCAAGGTTCACGATTTCCACTATACATCGGCCTTCTGCTGTTTTGTGAAGTTCGCATGGAACATGGCAGGACGCTACCAGGAAACAATACTCGTCCTGCCTTTTCTTGCAGGGAGCCAAGAACGATGTCCCCCCCCCCCCGACAGACTTTGCTTCCACCTGCTGCACAGAGATCGACAACATACTCGCAAGGTGCCCCCCACTATGAACCAGATGCACAGAGAGATCGGACAGCAGCAAAACCATCACACAAAAATTCCACACAACAGATTCACAATTTCAAACTCAACGCCAGGTAGTGGGACTGAGCGCCCCTGGGACAATGGCCCCAATTTTTGGGGATCCTCGGTCCCAGGACCCAGATATCAAAGTATCAGAAGAGAGGAACACACAGTGGCTGAGCGAGTGGAAACACCTTGGTCCCAGGACCCAGATAGTTAGAACCAGCAAGTGGAAACACCTTGGTCCCAGGTCCCATATCATAAAAACCAGAAGAGACGAACTTGAGAGTTTGAGCAAACAGAAAATCTACAACTAAGAAAATTTCCAGCAAAAAGATAAGTCCAATAATACCACCTACAGGCAAATAACTTCGTACATTTTTCGTGAATTTCTGCTTTCTTTATATTTAGCATCATAACCACAATTACACATCGAACAGCAATAGCTCCTACATAAAAAAAAAAAAAAAAAAAACTCCTACATAAACAACTAAACAAATCCTAGCAAACAAATCAAGACCTAATATAACACAAGTAAGCCTGAAGTATTACAAAATACTCAAATTGAGAAATAAAACGTAATGAACCATAAAGCGATGCTTGAAAAAAAAAGAAAAAAAGTATCATTGTAGTGATTAATATTTCTCTAGCTAGCAAGCCTACGACCTTTGCTTTTTTCCTAGCATATTAGATTGCTTTGGCTTTGAGAGATCGATCATCAAAAGCTCCGTAACAAAAAAAACAAAGAGAATTCATAATGGCTTTTAGTCCACTAGAACAATTTGCTACTATTCCAGTGATTCCTACTATGCCTCTGCAGAGTCATTGATGTTCTTCTGTTCCGAACCAGAGTCGGTAATATATTTTACTAGAATTCTAGTAAAATATATTTAGTATTTACGATCTCTTTGAATGGGTCCCACATGTGTGTACACATTCCAAACAACTAAATAACGAGCTAAAAGTTTCACAGAATCTTCGTCAAAACCATCAGTACATAAGACTCCCTTTCGCCCTAGTAGTGAAATAATTGACCCATCATCTAACCACGAGGAATCTGTTTATTTATTTTTTTATGGCAAGCCCACCCATCTCTCTCTCTCTCTCTCTCTCTCTCTCTCTCTCTCTCTCTCTCTCTCTCTCTCTCTCTCTCTTTTTCGTTTCCCCAACAGAACAGGGCCCCTATTAACCTCGCTCCATATACATTCAGGTTACAATCAGTCCGTTCTTTTTTCTTTCCTTTTTTGGTCATCCATAAATCCAAGAATTTCAAGTCTGACAATGGAATACGAATGCCCCCAACCGTCTCAATTTAATCATCACTCCGATGCCGGAGACGAACCAGAGTCCTATCCCATTATTCCATGCTAATGTGATCAGACTGATGTGGACTGCATCAGTGCGGGTCGTGTGTTCCACCGGCGAGTCCGGAAAAAAATAAAAGTCAATTACGTGGACAGTTGCACACGCGTCCCTACGTTTGGTCGAGCGATCGGATCCGCCCCCCTGATCAGAGCATTGATTGGTCCCTGTTTTAGGATGCTTGATTACCAGCGTGCCCTTCTCATGCATTGCTTGCTCTGTCAGGTTTGATCTGTGGACCTGTCAGCTTCCGCATCTCCATAGAGGATCACGAGAGCACGGCCCTGTGTTTCCCATCCTGTATCAATTCTTGAGCTGGTATAGTCAGGGCCCTGCCCCCCCTTGTCTATCCATTCCTCTCTTTTGAGATTCGGAAAGAGTTTTAAATTTACTGTACTTTTTCTCTATATGTGATTTCAAGGTCTCCCAATTCAACTGACCTCTCTCTGCTTGTAATTCCTCCCCCTTCTTACTCTATGCACTCTTTTTTTTTTTTGTCTTGAACCATGGCACATGACTGGCTGCACCTCCAAGACTTTTTTTTTTCTTCTTCTTCTTCTTCTTCTTCTTCTTCTTCTTCTTCTTCTTCTTTCTTCGAAGGGTTGAAGGAAAGTGGCCAGATCAGGCTTCTCATAACGCAGCCGGCATGGGGTTGGCCACTGGCCAGTCATCATTAACCCCCCTAAAGAGTTGGGGGTGGCTGATTGAGGTAAACTCCCGACACCCTTCTGGGCGTTCCCTATATACCCACACAACTCCTTGAGGATCACTCTCGAGTCTCGTCCGTGCTGCCCGGCCCCCGACTGACGTTCGTCTGTCAGGCCTCCGACCGACATTCGTCCGTTGGGTGTGTGCACTGGGAGGCACAGAAGCTGACACCTGTTATCGGAGACCTGATTGAACTAGATCCAAAAAAAAAAAAAAAAAAAAAAAAAAGACCATAGTCGCAGTCCTTCGAGACATCACCGTCAGTAAAATTGGAGCAATGCAGAGTAGGAGTTTAGATTTTGATCATAGCCCCTGTGCTTTCGAGGACAACACGCAAAGATTTAGAAATGGTGAAAACGTTTGCAGAAAAAAAAAAAGACAATAGACATGAGAGCTTAAAAAAAAAAAAAAAAAATGGAGTGACCGGCTGCATGGATGCGTAGTGCGCTCGGCCGGCACATTTCTGGCAGTCAAACAAACAGAGGTGAGCGCAGTGGTCGGTCGGTCATCGCACATGCATCGAGAAATGAACTGCTTTCGACATTGTTTTTCATTGTTATTTTTGAAACAATTAGACGCCAGTGGGATGGTAGTGAGGGGAACTCAACGCTACTCTCTTTTTCCTTTTTTTTCCTACTTTTTTTTGTGAGGGGGAAAATTCCTTTTTTTTTTTTTTTTTTTTTTGCAAACGATTCAGGCGTACCCCAGGGCTGGTTCGCGAGAGCCACATACACCACTGGAAGGCGCTTTCTTCAACTAGTGCGCATCCATTAGTGCGCGACGCACTGCCCATCCATGCGACCAAGTTATTGACACAACACACTGGCTAACGTGGGTGGAGAGATAGATAGATAGATAGATAGATAGATAGATAGA